TGGAGAAGCCAGCAGGAAGTTGCAAGTCCCAGGCCGGCACACAGATAAGTGGCTGCTGCTGGGTGGGGGGGGGGGTGAGGGGGTGCGGTGGGGCACGGGGGAGGGTCTGGGAAGGTGAAAGTGGGTGCATGAGAGGGGAAGGGTGCGGGGATGCGTGAGAGGCACTGCGCAGGTTGTGAGGGTACTTGGCAGTGCGTGAGAGGCGCCACGCAGGTCGGGGAGGGTACACAAGAGTTGCCATACAGGTCGGGGAGGGGGTACAACAAGTGCTGTGGGGGTTGGGCAGGGTGTGTGGGGGTGCGTGAGTGGCCAGCGCAACTGCAGAGGGGCTGGGGATGGTGCATGAGTGGGGGAGACTTATCCCAGTGACTTGTGACCTTCCCTGCCAGCTTCCCCATTGACTTTCTGGGGAAGCCAGCAGGGAAGGTTGCAAATGGCTATCACATGATCGCGGGGTGCTTGGCAATTGGTCATGTGCAAATGGGTTGCCAAGCACCCAGATCGCAATCACATGACCACGGGGGTGCTGGGACCACCGTAACTCGGAGGACCAGTCGTAACCACCATTCGTTCAACACCATCGTAACTTTGAATGGTCACTGAGCGAATGGTCATAAATCGAGGACTACCTGAACCAGATGTTTTTGTTGTTGTTTTGAAATTTGCCATGAGTCTGCTTGGATCTGGCATCTTAAAAATAAATAAGCAAAATAATACTTCATAGTAGATTGAGATAATTTATGTATCTCTCGCTTAGGGAAGAACAATGTCTATACTCAGAAGATTCACAATCTCTGTTGCTCTAATCTGAAATGTAGTCTCAGTACTGTACATCCAGACCTGATTAATAACAATATAGACAGGGGAATGGACAGAATGGATTACATTTGAAGCCTCTGCTCCTAGTGATATTTTTTAGTTGTATTTCTCAGATCAGTCAGAATAATTTGATCACGTTTTAGTAAATGCATATGTTTTTATTTTACTAGTTCCATTATACATTAGTAATCAAGTAGAATTTTGATAAATAATTATGCTTAGTAGCTTTCTTCAGCTTCCAGAAGGTTCCAAAGTATTGCTGTACTATATCTTAGTGGAGATTTCAATCTAAAGAACTTTACACATGCCCTGAAAATACTCTGAAATTATTACATGAACTTTAGCACACTTCAAGCATGTTGGTTTTAATTAAGGCACCCTGTAGAACATTTCTGGAAAGGAAAATATGGCACAAGATGATTTGGATATAAATGCTTGTGTTCACAGCTATACATGATGAAATAAACTATTGTTTACTTCAGGAACTATTCCAGCTGAATGTTTACTAATATCATTTGATTCTAGTCCTTCAGATTCAGATGCCAGGCTTATTGCCTTGGGTCCTGAGCAGACTAAAGTGTGTGAACAAAGACAGATAGTTACTTGTATCTTATGCCAAGAGGAACAGGAGGTCAAAATGGATAACAGAGCAATGGTGCTGGCAGCATTTGTTCAGAGATCGACAATCTTGTCCAAAAATAGAAACATAGTGATTTCAGATCCTGGTGAGTAGTTTTATATACAATTTTGAAAGACCACCTAATATTCAAATGTACAAGATTCTGTTCTGAATTATACAGGAGGCTTTTATTCAGTATACTATAAAATAATAATGAAGTCAACCCATTCACAAATATCCTAATTCTAGCTTAGTGTACTGGCCTTAGATTATTGGGATTTAAACAGATGAATGATTTGCAAAACTTTTCAAGTATTTGCATATATAAGGATTGTGAATAATCTGCTAGTGAATATTATCTCTGTTATTTTTTCATATGCAGAAAAATATGATCCATTATTTATGCATCCAGACCTGTCATGTGGAACACACACTGGTAGCTGTGGACATATTATGCATGCACATTGCTGGCAAAGGTATTTTTTTTTTAATATTATCAGATGTTAAGGATGTGCTGTCAAGACAGCTAAAATACATTTTTTCCTGCTGTCTGCTATGCTTGGCCAGTCGTGTAATACATGTTGGTAGATTATTGGCAGGAAAGTTGTTTTTATTCTTGCCCAGGCTTTGGTTACATACTACATGCTTGATGAAACTTAGCTCTATTGACTTCTCAGTGTGTGTTTGGCAGTTGAGGTATAAGGATGCTAGTGAGAAAGCAAATATATAAAAATTCCTTTCCTGAATTAATCTATTTAGGACTTGCTGCTTAGGATAATGTCATATTCACACTATCCATATTTTCCAATGATTAATAAAATTGTAGCTTGTTTCTTAAATTAATATTCCCTTTTCAAGTAGACTTTCTTACTCTGTCAGACTAGTAGAACAACAAAAAAGGCTTTAGATGTTGTATGAAATTTATTAGGAGAAAGTTGTTCCAAAAAATTCTTCAAAATCATAAACAAGTATTGAAATAATTCTCTTTACAATAAATCAACTATTTCCTCTTTACCTTCTCATTTTCAAACTATTATTCAGTGCAGAAATGTTTTAACTAGCCATGATATATTCCAAGACTAGGCCGAATTTGGGGAGGTCCCAGTGCTGCTTAGAGCACGGGTGATGTTGTTATGACATGACAGGTGAAGGATGGGATCAGAAATTTCAGCTATCTTTTGTGATGGCCAAAGAACAATAGTTGCATTAAACCTCACACAGGTTTAAGATGTCAACTTTGCCCATTAAGCTCTCTTCAAAAAAAAAAAAAAAAAAGGAAGAAATGAATGTGATTTTTGGAAGGTTGGGCAAGTTTTAAGCTCAAGCTACCCATTTTGTCTCTTAAATTGCCTTCCCCAATTTTCCAGAAAAAAAAACAAGGCTAATATTTTTTGTGTTGTCCATTATAGGGGTACTTTGTACGCTGTAAAACAAGAGCAATAGAAGGCCACACATAGATTTTCCACTCCTGCAGTATATATTATGTGTCTGCCTATATATATTGTATTTATGAAAACAGCACAGTAGTAGCCCACAAAAGATTTTAGAACTAGTATTATAATATTATGCTTAAGATATGTTGTTTTCTAAAGGTATTTTGATGCTGTGCAAGCAAAAGAACAAAGACGACAACAAAGATTACGAGTGCACACAAGTTATGATGTAGAAAATGGTGAATTCCTTTGTCCTCTCTGTGAATGCTTAAGCAATACTGTCATTCCTCTTCTTCCTCCTCCAAGGACTTTATTTAGCAGGTTAGTAACTCCATGTAATAACTTGTTTAATTAGATAAAATCAGAAATCCTTTCTTGAACCATTATGATTTTTTACAGGGATTGAAAAATCAGGAACCTTTACCTTCCAGTAACTACATGCAGGATTTGAATGTGTTGTACATTTTGAATTAAGTTACTAAGTTTTGAAACTCTAAATATTCAGCAAATAGATTAAAATCTTGGGTCGGCTTTGTATATTTCTATCACCTTGACCATGTTGAACAGGATTTTTTATTGAGAGTGAAACACTAATTGGCTCTTTAATGCAATATAAGGAAATGGGAAGAATGGAAGAAGTGTGAACTAAGGAAACATCAAAGAAAAGTATCAAGTGTATTATAGAAAAGATAATTCAGAATCAGGGATAGAAATAAAAATGTAAAGAAAGTTTCATATAGATTGAAACATTTATTAGTGACAGAAATGAATAAAAATACAGGTAGTCCTCATTTAGTGACTGCCTTATTTAGTGACCATTTGCAGTTATGACAGTGATGAAAAAGTAACTTTGTGACCAGTCCTTGCTTTTACACCCTTTGCAGGTCTGTAAAGTAAAGTAAAGTCTGTAAAGTAAAGGATAGCTGAAGTAAGATGCATACTCCCTGACCCATGCCTCTCGCACACCCTCCCCAACCCGCGCTGTGCCTCCCCCTCACACCCATCCTGACCTGCACTGTGCCTCTCATGTGTGAGATTTGCCCCGTTCGACAGAGAAACTCTCGTGACACGTGTGGTTCACAAAG